ATTTTAACCTCATGTCCCCCTAGTTACAAAGATCAATGATCTCATAGACGAAGCGAGAACCTTGAAACAGCAAGAAAAAGAAAAAGAATCGCAAGTTAATGCTAGAATAGCTGGTGAGTTTTATTCAATCCACGTAACCATCAGATACAACCTCCCTCACTTTTAACATTAAAGCATATACAAATTGGGCCTTTCCATTAATTCAAGAAACACAACTTGATGTTGTTCTTTTAGAACTTGAAAGGAAACTGACGAAGACAGAGGAAGAAAATGCCAAAATCCGTGACGATAATGAAAGTAAAACCCTCGGCAATAAAATCTTCAACAATATAGGGTATTTAAAGTCTTTGTCTAAAGAACAATTTCCCTTCTTCCCGATTCCGTCTCTCACTAGAGCTGAAAGAAAAATGTGTGGACACCGATTATTGCCCTGAACTCCAGGAGAAATATAAAGGTATGTCTGCTGTAAAGAGATAGTCCTTCCAGAACTTTTGGATAGTTGTATAAACAGGATACTTGGTGTCTGTGTGTTACAGAAATGCAGGCTGAATATAACGAGACCGTTTCGAAATTGAACGATGTACTTCTTCAGAAGGGTGAGTGAAGCCCTAATTTGTATTTAAATTAATGACAAAATTCATCACAAAACATTGTGATTAAAAAAAAACATCATATTGTGTAAACCTTATGTAAGTCTTCTTCACTTTTGACACATAATTACTGTATCTCTCTCTTCAATGCTGTTGTCGTTTTCAGTTTTTATAATTAAAAACCTAATCGATGAAGTGGAGTATCTGGATAAGAAAGCTGCACAAGGATTAGGTAATGAAGGATGTATTTCTAATGATTCTGATATCGCAAACTGCAATACTTAGACATACATATAAAAGAAGCCTTTTCTGCTTACCAAGGCTGCATTTATTTAATCAAAATATACAGTAAAAGCATTACAATTTAAAATAAATGTTTTCTATTTTAATATATTTTAATAAAATGTTAAAATTTGAAATGTTAAAATTCCTGGCAAAGCTGAATTTATGTCTTGTTTTTGAGAATACTGTGATCGTTTTTGAGGATTCTTTGATGTAAGGAACATTCAAATAACAGCATTTATTGAATCAAAATATTGTAACAATGTAAAATTCTTTACTGTCACCTTTAATCAGTTGAATGTGCCCTTGATAAATAAATCTTTAAATGTGTTAATTTCATTTAAAAAAAAAACTTTACTGACCCCAAACTTTTGACATTCACTCCATCTGGTTATTTTCAGGAAGGATGGAAGAACTGGAAGAAAAGAAAAAAGAATTGAAGGAGGCAATGCAGCAATTGAAGGCTGAGGGATCTATATCAGCCAAAAGTGAGTCAAACCCCATTTTTCTGAATTTTGCATCTTCTTTATTTAAAGAGAGACCATTTCATACTTACACAGTGGTTTGTTACAGCTCTGGATGTACTTCAGTTACTAACTAAGATATGGAAGCTGCAAGAAAATCCTGTAGAGAATTCAAAAAAGATTCACCGTGAGTTGAAACAAATCCATTTCTTCCCTTTAAAAGCATGTCATTCATTAGCTCACAATTAGTGATTTTCTTCTCTTAATTTAGAACGGGAAGCTAAATTGAATGGTTTGCTGACTGAGTTGCAAAACTCTGGAGAAAAGGGGCTTGAACTAAGTGAGTTTAATTTCATTTCCTTTTAAATTGCAATAGAGTAAAAACCTGGGGGTAAAATAAAATGTATAGCTTGAATGCAATGTAAGTCGCTCTGGATAAAAACATCTGCCAAATGCATAAATGTAAATGTTTTTCTTATAATTAAATTCATACAGCCTTGAAGATAATTTCTATAAAGGAATCAATGTCCAAACTAAAACAAGCACAAGGACAAATGCAAGAGGAATACAAAAGAGAAATCAATGGTAAGCCCATCTTAAATGCATCTATTGCTGATTTTTCATTTAAAATTAAAGGGGAAACAACGACTATTAAACTTTCTTTTTTATGTTGTTGGTCAGGTCTAAATAAGCAAATAGAGGACAACAAAAAAGAGATTTTGCTTTTGAAGACTAACTGTGATCAGTCCACTCAGCTGAGTAAGTTGTGTTAATTCCTATATATGTAATTAGCATTTTAACCCAGTATATTGTTAATAAAAACATGCTGCTTTCCAGAGGACAGGATACAACAACTAGAAAATGAGGCTAAAGAAAGCCAACAAAAATTGAAAAAACTACAAAAAGAATCAAAAGATAAGATTGCAGGTACGTTTTACACTTGATGTGCTATTAAGTTGTATTATGTATAAGTGTAATAATGTTGAGACTCCTAAATCGTCATTAGAGGGAATACATCCTTTGGAATACAATTACAAATAACTTGTGAAAATTAACTGTGGGAAATCAGAGTTTTATTAAAGATGAAAATAATTATGATGCTTAATAAACATAGATTTGTGTTATTAAATATTATTGTTTAATTTTTTTTCTCAGCGCTAGAGAAACAAATTAAAACAAAAGACCAGCAGCTGACAAACACTGAAGATAAACTCCGGGAGATAAATGCTGAAAATGCTGATTTGGGTAAGAAAAAAGATTATTTATCAAAAATATTGTTTGTTTCCATATTATATTGTCACCTACACATGACTAGTCATTCCAAGAATTTCAGTTTTGTGTCTTTTGTTTTAGTCAAAAAGCTGAACAGTCTGAATGATGACATAAAGAAAATCACAGAGGAGAAAAACAATGCACTACAAAAAGCAAAAGAAGAAATCTCCGGTATGACGACACTATAAAAACTATAAAAACAAGATGTGCTTAAATTCATTACCAAGTTCACTTTTCCAAATAGCATACAATATATGTTTGTATTTTAAAATGATTAGAGGTGCTGTTCTTGATAAATATATTTGGGTGTAAGCAATGGTAGTTTTCTGTACAGTGAATGAAAAATATACATGGACCCAAGCTTTCTTGGGCCAGTGGTTCCAATCAGAAAACTGCTTTTTTAATGCTGACATGCTGAAAGACGTTCCAAAACAAAGAATAAAAATGACATAAAACGATTCCAAGCAGCATGTGAGAAATAAACAATAGTGCTATGATGACGTACAGTACTTCTAGTCCGTGTGTAAATTGAAGAATGCATGTCTATTGGGGTTCTCTCTAATCCTCATTTCCACTGGAGACATTAAGTCTTCATGTGCTTTTAAATATTTAACCTCAAATTCTACTCATTATGTGTGCAATTTGCTGCATCATTTTATATCAAGGTTGAATCGATTTGACCATTTTGTTTTAAATTTCTCTAACTGCATTTCTATGCTCTGTCAGGTTTAAATGAGAAATTGCAAAGACTGGAAAATGAGCTTGCTAAACAGGGCCTGAACCTGAAGGAGAAGGATGATACCATTGCTAAATTGAAAGAGCTACGTGAAAATAAGGAGAGCGAGCTTGAAAAGGCAAAGAAGAAAAATGAAGGTCAGTGAGAAGAGATTCAAAGGGTTTTTGAATATGTGGTTCATAAACTGGGGAAAATTCAGAAAACTGCAGTCAAATTATCTACAAATAATGATGCTGCTGCAAATTGCACTCTTGATGCATCATTTTTTTTAAATCTTTTTCTTTTTGTTGTTGTCCAGAACTAGTGACAGAACTTAAAACAAAGTATCAGCAACTTGCTAAAACTGAAGCCAAACTTAAGGAGATAAATGCTGCAAATCAAGACTTAAGTATGAATCAAATATAGTAATGAATGACAGAGGTGTTCCAATATAAAATGTACAAAATGAATGCCTTATAGTAATTGATTCTTTCTTTCTTTCCTTATTTATTTTGTTTTAGTTCGGGAGCAGAAGGAACATGAAAAGAAACTAAAAAAAATCAAAGAGGAGAAAAACATTTTGCAAAAAGAATCACAGAAAGAAATCTCTGGTATGACAAAACTGTCAAAACACTCCAAGTCATGATAAAGTTCACATGTCCATATTTTTTTTTTACACTTAAATTGCATTACAATGATTTGGATTTTATAATTTGGTCTTTTATATTGTATTCAAACCTTAAGACTGTTTTCTTGTTTTATCAGATTTAAAAAAGACCCTGGAAGCACAAAAACAAGACCTTGCTAAAAAGGACCAGAAACTCCAGGATAAGGACAAAGAAGTCGCTGAATCTCAAAAGGAGTTAAAACAAGAGAAAGATAAATTAAACGGTGAGTGGGGTGCCACTATCTTTTAGTACAGTCAGTAAACAATGCAAGTAACATTTGGTCAGGGACCAAAAAACATATTTTGCATGTATCTGCAGAAGGAAATCTGACAGGTTTTAATATTTTCTCAATATTTATAGGTGTGGTCCGTGAGAATGAGAAACTTAGAGAACAACTGGTTGAGACTAAACAGAGAGTGGATGAACTTGAGAGTGAGATATTTCTTTTTTTCCTGAGCAAAACAAAAGGAGTATTAGCATTATTTATTATCAGAATTAACAGTGTGCTTTTGTTTCTTTTATAAATCCCTTTTTTCCAGAAACTATAGAAGAAAAAAAAGAACTTCCTAAGGAAGGTAAGTTTGTGATTTCAGTCTGGTTGTAATTTACACATGGAAATAAAAATCAATTAGTTACAGTCTGTAAAAATGCAATTAAACGGAAAAATGTCTGCCTGTGTGCCCATGCCAGAATGGCCAAAGTTTGACGCAAACACTGCCCACCGCAGACTCATCTTGTCAAAGGATGAGAAAGAGGCACGCACCTCTTTATTGGCTCAGCCTGTACCTGACACCCCTGAGCGCTACGACACAGCTATTGCAGTTCTGGCAAAAGACGGATATAATTCTGGAAAACATTACTGGGAAATTGAGGTGTTAGGAAGAAATTGTTATGTTGTGGGAGCAGCCAAATCGTCCGCTCAGAGAAAAGGTATTCTGACATATGGCCCTTCGGCTGGCCATTGGGTTATTCTGAAGAAAAGAGGCGGAACCCTTTTTGCCATTGCAGACAAGCCGATTGAAATAAACGTTCGTAAAACACCTTCTGTAATTGGGGTCCAGGTGGATTTTAAAAATAAAGAAGTTACTTTTTATGATGCGGAAAATAAATATGAAATCTATAAGTTCACTGGCAATGAGCTGCAGGGTAAAATTTACCCATATATTGAGACCTGCAGTGATTCTAATATTCATGACCCTCCCTTGATCTTAAAGCAAGTAAAATCCATAGATTGGCTCAAGCAATGATCTCCGTATATTAGGAGTCTGTTTATGTATGCAAAGAAAATACCCGCTGTTTTGAGATTTCGGATTGTAACGACTCTCAAGTGCATTCTTGAATGTCTTGCATCTTTCATTTTAATAAAACATTTACATTTGAAAAACAATATTTATCCTATATGTTGGTGTCTTTTAACATTTAAAAGGAAAAGTCACTTTCATATTGATCCAAACCTGTCTCTTTCTTTATAAAAGAAGATATTTTGCAAAATGTCTTTTTTTTTTTTTTTTTGTCCATACAATGGAAGTCAATGGTAACCAAAACTGTTTGGTTACTTACATTCTTCAGAATATCTTATGTGTTCCATAAAAGAAATAAATGCATACAGGATTTGAACAACATAACAGTGAGTAAATGACAAAATGTTAATTTTGAACTTGAATGTCTGGAGCAGCAAATCTACACAGAGGAAACATAAATGAAAAACATTAGTTTTTATTTTAGGGGAAAAACAACAACAGGTTTTTGCTTCCAAACATAAGATTTTTAAGAGTAAACAAGCACTTGAACTAATGGTCACATGCATACCAAGTTCAGCTTTTCAAAAAACAATTTAAGAGTATAATAGTCCATAGGAGACTTGATTTCAGTTACATTTTGAAGAGTGAAAAATTGTATGAAGACCTCAATCTCTGCCTGCTGTTCCAGCAACCCGGCTATAGAAGTATGCAACAAAGGTTGGGTCCTTTTCCTCCAAGCTGTTCAAAAAAGCATTTCTCTCCTCTTCACTCCATGAATCAAACCACTGAGTCCACAGTCTTAACTGGCATTCAAAAATGTTGGGTGGGCGATCATTCACCTGAAATTAAGAGACAAAGAGGATACCTGTGTTAACATACAGATCTGCCTACAAAGCATCTTTTGATATGGATGGATGGAAAAAATAAAACACCTGTAGTGTGTTGAGCTGGTCCAATAAACTAGACACCTTTCCAGGCACTGCCTTTGAGATCAGATCTTCCAAAAAGCGTTGCTTCTGAGCAGCGTTCCATCCAAAATACCAACCAAGTACACATCGTTGCTCCTGAAGCGTCACAAAAGACAGCGGCAGGGAGTTTTCTCTGGAGCCCATGTTGAGGGACGTGCAGGACAGAGCTTCCAGACGTTGGGGGACGATTCCTCCTGAGGCAGGGGGAAAGTCTGTGATGGATACTGGAGGATGGGTGGACCAACCTTGTCCATCGGACATTCCTAACTGTGTGATGGTGTGCTTAGAGACCTGTGTATGGGGCAGATCTTCCACGGCGGTAGGGGGCATCATGGATGCATCTGGTTGGCCCGAGCCTTGTAAAGCCTGGTGGAACCAAGCCATTTCTAAAAAGGTCAGAAAAAGGAGGATTTCAGCGTGCTTGATTTTGATGGTAGCCTACTAAACAAAACTACAGCGTTAAAAGAAACAGGTTACCTTCATGTTGAGCATTTCCATAACTTCATAAATAAACTGAAACACTAAATAAGGCACCTTCATGCATTTAACATAACGTTATATCATTAACTTACATCGGTTCAAAGGCTTCGTAAAACTGTTAGCTTTGCATCGTATCATCACGACTGCAGTAAGCTACACTTCTATTCACTTCCTTGTTAAGACACACAGTGCTAACGTCAGATTGCTAGCTGACCAAAACAAACGGGTAAACTCCGTTTTAAAACATTACTTGAGTCAGAGTGTCATTTTAAATAAGACATCACCTTTTCTTAGATGGATTTGTCACCTTCGGTCAAAAAAGCATGTTGTTACTCTCAAAATCGGAAATAGTTAAAGGGTAAATAATCTCGATTGAGTCGTGAAGCTCAAACGGAGCCGCTCGATGTGTTCTGTTCAATAAACCGCTCGGACACCAGGGGGCTGTGCATGTTATGGTTGTGATGTCCTATTCGTGAAACGCACTTCGCCTCACTAGGCCATGATATGTGATACACACAATCTCAAGATCCGAAATTGCATATATTATTTATATTATAAGGCCTATATAGAACAAGGTCAATGTGTTTTTAAGACGGAGGAGATTCAGCATACATGTTATTGATGATGCACACAAGAATATAAACAGTATAAATCAATGCAAAGGCTTAATGCATTTATGTTAAAAAGGAAAATGAAACCACAAGAAAAAATAAAATGATGTGACAAGAATACATGTATATTGCCTGTTACTTTGTAAAACATCAGACAACTTTGATGTTCTCTGTCTGAGCTTCCACCCCGCCTCTTCCGGAAGCGCTCGTGGCGCGCTGACGTCGGTGAGGAAGGCGTTGCGGTCCGTGCGAGCTACAGAACGAGCGAGGGGAATCAAGATGGCGGACCTCGAAGACGTTACGCTGGACGGGAGGCCGCTCCATTCGCTCCGGGTAGCGGATTTGAAAGCGGCATTGGAAGAGAGAGGGCTTCCGAAAAGCGGACAGAAAAATGCTCTCATCAAGAGGCTCAAAGGGGTGAGTGGGAGTTGCTGTTTTCTTTGCTCCGCAGAGTCCGAAGACCGTGATTCGGAGGCCGAGCGTCGGTGGTCTCGCTAGCTGCTAGCGCGCACTAGCTGGGGTGTTCATGCAGTTTGTAGTGTGTCATCATGCCCCCCCACTGTTGCTTGTTTGTGAGTGTGTATGTGTGTGACATGCAAAAGCGGCGTTTATTTTCTGTACTTGTGAGTTTTGGGATGGAGCAGATGTCGCAAAGGGTTCAGGGCGATGCGGTTGTGTTTACAAGTCTCTGGATGGCTGTGAACTGTGGATTTTTTTTAAGTTGTCGGCGGGTTCGCGCTTTGTTAGTGCATAAGGTGTTGGGGGGTGGGGGTTATTTAACGGGTGCGCGCTTACTAAAAAAAGTCCTTCAAATATTAAGTTTTCGTAAGATTAATAAACACGTTTTACCCCTTGAATATCATGTGCTTTTGCTGAAATAAATACTGAGGTCGGACTCGCATCGCAGTTCCTGCGTCGGTGGGAGGATTTGATTGATTGATTGATGTGCCGCGCGCAGCAGCTGTTTTGAAAGTTACTGTTAGGTACTGACCAGATGTAAACATGTCTTTCTGTCAATTTCCTAATTGGATTCTGTATTATCTTATTTCGTGCACTTGCTTATTTGATGCATGATGAAAAAGGTAAATAAATCTATGTGCGTGATTTATTAATAACCAGTAAACAATCAATGAATCAATACATGATTTATTTTTGTATTTTTACTGGCTTTATTATTAGGTCGTACGCTTTGATCCATACAAACCTTAATATTCATGAATAATCACTTTTGACCACTAACTGTACATCATGAGCAGTTATGGCCTAGATAAAATTGACATCTAATACAAATTATTAAAAAGTGTGCAAAATATTTTGTACTTATAAGCATATTGCATAGTTGTGATTAGAGTCAGTTGTTTTATTTGTAATAATGCAATGTAACAAATTCCAATCCAAATTGTGTGGACATAATTTTTGGCCAGGCTGACAAAAATAAATTATGAACACATGGAAAATCTAGAACCAATTAACTATTAACATAACAATTAACATAACATACTATTAACATAACTAATAACTAATTATGATAGTGTATGCTTTTTCATGTGAGCTTTGTTTTCTATGCTTTTTTTTTTTTTTTTTTTTTTGCATTGTGAAATAAAACTAGTGGCTGTAGTATCCTTCATATATGGATTTTTTTTTTACAGATACCAATTATTTTTATGTTTATGTTCCTAATTTACAGAACTAATATTGATTTATTGCTGTTTTTGACAAGTATATAACACCACTGAACTGAACAACTATTTTAACACTTTTTAAATATGTAATTGCTGAAATTTCACTCCCTTCTTGCATAAACAAAAGCACACTTCTGCATCAATAAACAAATAAAAAGAGTCTGAAAAGTGCACAAAAATAAACTATTTTTAAAAATAACATTTTTGATCTTGTAAACAAACATAGATGGAATATAGCATGTAAAAATAATAACAAATTTAATTCCCCATAAATATAAGCATTCATTTTAAACTACAGTTTTAAAAGGTTAATGTTTGATATAAATGGGCTGAAGAGTGAAGAGGATGGAAAACACTCTAATAATCGATGGAATACGCAAACATTGTCAGAAAAGTAAACAAAACAGTGAATGCATAATCACAATTACTGAGTCCATTTCAATCTGGCATGTTATCAGAATTATTAATACTGTCGGTATAAATGATAAAATACCTGCTGAGTCTGACAAAGTGCTGTTTAATAAACAACTTCACTCGCTGAGAATTAATTTCCTCAGAGCTGTATCTATTTAGATGTGTATTAGCTAAATAAAGGTTATATATTAGACATTATTATAATTTAAGGAGTATTAAACAAGTGGATTGTGATAAATATTTCTAAACCTCAAGCCAGTCAGGGTTGGAGCTAAACTCTGCAGGGTCACTGGCCCTCCAGGACCGAGTTTGGGGAACCCTGCACTAAAGTTTACCATTTGTACGTCTTTTTCAGTTTTACTAGTTTAAACATTCAGTCGATTTTAAACTATTCAGTTCTTGTGCGCTCTCTGAGAGTTTTTTTTCTGCGTACATACATACAGTAAAGTCACCTCACAAACATCTTACAAGTAACAAAAGTCAAAAACGCAGAAAATTTAAGTCAAATTTCTAGTCTTGGTGTGTATCCTCGTAAACGGTGGGTTATGTCTTAAATAAGCATAAAACTCATGTGACAGTATAATAAAAACAATAATAGTTCCATGCACTAGCTCTTAATGTGTTAGTCGGGACTAAAAGACTATCCAGTATTATTTTACATTTGATTACTTTATTCAATTTCTGTGGTATTTCTGAATACTAGTTAGACTTATCCAGAAAATGTTTTTTCTTTATTTCTATTTCTTTATTCTATTGTGTTTATTTGTACTACTTTTTTCAATTTAGTTCAAATATTGAAATCAAGCTTCCTCCTTGTGTAAACTCTTAACAACAAAATAAGCCCATTTTAAAAATGCAATGAGTGAGCAAATATTTTGGTGAGATAAATGTAATAAAAAATGGTCTAACCCCCTAATTGTTGTCTAATAAAAAAAAACAAGTCAATTCTTATGGTTTATGCTAACTTCATACATCACCTTTGGCCTCTTCTGTATGTGTCCACGAAGTTAAGATATATAATCCGCTCTATTGTTTATACTTGTGCAAAGTGTATGTAGTATACTATAGATGATAAAATGTTTGTCATTCTGCATGTGCAACAGGCTCTTATGTTGGAGAACCTTCAGAAAACCTCCACTCATCACATTGGCCTGCAGCCTAACTCCCGGGTGAGCCAAACTGAGATGTTTTACAGTAGAAATAAGCATATTACTGTTTGTTCTTGTGTGGATGACTTAACTGCACTATAACAACCGTGCCATTTTGGATTGCATGTGTGTTTATTTAGATTGGGGAGGAAATGAGTCAGAACAGCTTCATTAAACAGTACCTGGCCAAACAGCAAGAGCTTCTCAGGCAGCGATTGGAGAGAGAGGCACGAGAGGCAGCTGAAACTGATGGTAAGTATCTGAAACCAAATAACGCTAACAAACTTAAATTGTATTACTGTATATGAGTATTTAAGTTTAATGTGTATAATGATGATGTTAGCCAACACAAATGCTGCAGCATTGTATAAATAGGGGTGAAGGTGAACTATAGAAGCACTGTTGAGTCTAAAATGTACATTTAATTTATGCTAACATGTAGCTTTTGTTAAAATGAAGAACGTTTTGGTATTATATAGTGATGTGGATACACCTAGGCCTTTAGTGGTGTCCTATGTGTATTAATTCCACCTCTTAGTCCTAATAAGCTTTTAACAGTGTAGTTCATGACTCTTTATAATTGTTGTGAAATTGCTGTTTTATTTTGCACCTTTCAATTATAGGATTGATGTGGTGAGTTCATAAAAGGCCGGGTAGAGAGAGAGACGAGGATGGTGCATTTGTGTACAGTTGTTCTTGCGCTCTGATTAAAAAGTTCAGAAACGGAGTCTCTCTTGACTATTGACATTAAAATTGTATGAATGTTTGCAAAAAAGTTTTGATTATAAATTTACAAGAAAAATTAAGAAAATCATATTCAGCAAACATATTCAGCATATTCAGCATTATTAAAAAAAAACGGGACAAAAATAAGCATCATGTTCACCAAAACTACACAATCCATCCTAATTTCCTTTCTCAAGAAGACTTTAATTACTCTGTTGAACAGATTATCTGTGCGTTTCAGTTCCAACAAGAAGTCTTTTCTATCAAGGCTAATACTGAAAGTTGAGTCTGTCCCATTGTATTTCTGGCATAAGTTTTAATTCACTTCAGGGCTGAGAGAATGTCCGCTCGAGAGAAACAGTGGACACGGGGACAGTCACCGCTAAACATGACGATGGCAAACATGACAAACATTAACGCACGGATCTACTGGGCACTTTCCTAGGGCACTGGGCCAGCAGGGGGCCCTGTCAATTTTATATTCTTTTCAAGTAATTATTATTATGAGCAGGGCTTTAAGTATTCAGGGTCTTGGGTAAAAAAATTGGGAACTTGTATGTGGTTTATTATATGTGTAAGGATAATTAGGAGCAGCTGATTAATTTCTCATTAATGCAATTATCTAATCAACCAATCACAGGGCAGTTGCTTCAATGCATTCAGGGGTGTGGTCCTGGTCAAGACAATCTCCTGAACTCCAAACTGAATGTCAGAATGGGAAAGAAAGGTGATTTAAGCAATTTTGAGCGTGGCATGGTTGTTGGTTGTTGTTGCAGTATTTCGCAAAAATTATTGTCAAAAGTGGGCTGAAGACCCTGTCAGATACCACTCATCTCCACTACAAATAGGAAAAAGAGGCTACA